AAATCAAAAACTATTTCTTAGAGACCAAATTGCAAAATTATTAGTTCTTCCAGGTTGCAAACAAGAGAAATTAACCTTACTTCAAGGATAAAAATGCACCTTCTATGAATAAGAGGATTTGGTGTTTTTTTGGGTTTTTTTTAGCACATAGCGCTATCAAGGCCAAAGTCATGGGTTTGATTCATATTCAGGCTTGTAAATATCAGAAAAAAACCTCCTGTGATCACAGAATGAAACTTCCAATGTGGTCAGCTGTTTTGTAAATGTGCGGCACTGATCAGCACAGGGTACTGGAAAGGATGCTGGAGACCATAGAGACCCAGGTTCAAATTCTACCACTATAAAATGTATTCAGAGTGTAACATAACTTGTCCATAGTCACACTGTGAATACATTCAAATGCATACAAAATGGGGGTGATAAAAGGGGAGAACCTGCCTCAAAGGAAAGAAGAGAATATCTACAAAAAGGGCAAGACAAATGTGAGGGAGGGCAGACAACAGGAGGGGCAGCTCAGTAAAGGCCGTCACCACTGCAGAAAAAGACAACTGTGGCACAGATTGATGGCCTGGCAGCATCACCTTAGCCTATCACAGACAACCAATCATTCTTGCAGGGCTGGGATTTCTTTAATGTGCATCCAAAGTTGATGGTCCCATTCATTCCTAGCCTCCCTAGTCATTCCTATCACTTACTTTGTCCTCAGGGTTCCAATGGAGCTTCTGTACTATATCAGACCCAAAATGGCCACTGTATAAAAGGGAGGAGCAAGTCAGCACTTTAAGGAAACAAGTCAAGGAAGAAGCGCACACAAATGAATTAGTTTCACAACAAGATCACTGTATAGATTCCAAATATTGTGTTTGATCAGTTGTTGCAAAGTTTAAAATGAAAATTTTCATTAGATGAACCAGAGGCTTAGGTTATGGACTATGATGCATGGCACCAGTCAGTTAATAAAAACTTAGATCAAATTATACACACAGGGGACAGCTAGGTGGAGCAGTGGATGGAGCACCAGCCCTGGATTCAGGAGGACCTGAATTCAAATCTGGCCGCAGCCACATAACACTTAGTAGCTGTGTGACTCTGGGCAAGTCACTTAACCCTATTGCCTAGCCAAAAAAAAAAATTATACATGCACCTAGAAAAACAAAACAAGACGGTCTAATCTTCAGTCTACAGAAAAAAGAGGAGGTAAATAACCCCCCTCAGTATAAGTTTCTGCTAGACATCCTGCAGATGGAAACACTGCTCTTTCTTCTACTTTTTTTTTGGGGGGGGCAAGGTAATCTGGTTAAGTGACTTGCCCAGGGTCACACAGCTAGTGAGTATAACATGTCTAGGCCGGATTTGAACTCAGGTCCTCCTGACTTCAAGGCCAGTGCTCTCTATCCACTGCACCACCTAGCTGTCCCTCCTCTACTTTTTTTTTTTTAACAGAACATGACCAGGGCAGTTGTTTCCTCCTCCTTTAGCCACCCTTCCTTGCCTGCCCACTTCTGATTCTCGTTCACTCATCCAAGAGGCTGATGTCTTTGTTTCTGGTCCAGTTAGGAAACTCTCATTTCAAATTTTACATCCTATGTGCATAGGTATACCAACCCAAGGACGAGCCTTCTTTCACCTTTTATCCTTCTCCTTAGGGGAGTACAGCCTCTCCCATGAACTAATAGTGTTCACTTCATTTTACTGCTTGGTTTTATTTCTACTTAGAATCATCATTCGCTGCAAAGGATACTACTAAATGCACTTACTCCACACCAGATGACCACCATCAGCCGGATCCAGAAGATCTGTTTGCTATGAATTTTAGGCTGCATTTTGTAGGAGAGGATTGTCTGAACAAACATATAAAAGGATCCCAGGCCAAAAGTGAGCACAGCTCCACATATGTGTGCAGCAAAGACTGTTGTTTTCTGAGGGTGGAAAAAGGAATATAGATCGCTTAGAGTACAATCCAAAACATTTTTGATGGTATCATAGATTTTTAATTAAGCAATCATTGCTTCAGAAAGCTTTGGAAACTTTATACATAAACTTTCTCATAAGCCACTCATGAGTATACTTAATGATTACAGTCAAACCTCATTAAATATTTGGAATTTGTGATAGTTCAAATGCAGGAAAACTTTATTCTTAACTGAGTAAAAAGTATGAAATAACTTCTTCCCCTATGATTTTTCAAGGCTTAACTCACACGGAAAAGGAATCCAGCCTAAAAATCAATGCTTCTATAAGGCTCAAAAAATTAAAATCCCTATTTTGCAACTTCAATTTGAACTCACTTTCAGAATTTGGGGGCTAGAAAGGACCTTGGAAATTGTCTAACTACCCCTCACTTTCCAGGAAAACGGGGTCTATGCAGTGTAGGTGTAAAATCACATAGTTGCAGTCCCAGTCCTAGATCCTGGTCCTATAATTAATTATTGTGTATTAGGAGACTTTTGGTATTTATGGTATATTTTACATGATGAAGATTTCACTATGAATTGTCATTTTCAAAATGAATTAATCTCATTTTACTTATCAATATCCACATATACCTTAGCTTATAAGAGAAACATGTGCAGTGACATCTTTTATTCAATAATTTGGGCTTGTCACACAAATTATCTTTCCTCCACATTGTTCCAGATTAGTGAGGTTTCATTCTAACCCTCTGAAGGCTCATGCTCCTTATACAGTGAAGAGTCTACTCCATTTAAATTTCTCTTAGGCTCTTCTTGCTCTACTTTATAAATACAGGAGGAAACCTAGTCAACATAAAAAAAAAGTATTGATAAAAATCCATTTTTTAAAAACACTGCCATGCCACAACTCAATTTTATTGGTTCAAGGTAGTCCTAACACCTTTAACAAGAGACTAAGTTTTGGGCACTTTTGCAGTTTTTGCAAATGTAGCTGTGGCAGGTAAGGAGAATATCTGGAGTCAGGCAGTAAAACCATTTGATAAAACAATGTGTATTGTAATGGTAGGCATCTGTTATCACTACAAATCACTCAGCAAAAGAAGCCAGAAAAGATTCAATTATAAGGAAAAGAGGAAAATGAAAGTAAACATTCTTAGAATTCATTCTACAGAAATGACTGTGCCCCCTTGTGGTTACACTGCAAGAAGTGACAAAGCATTGGCCCCTTAATAACACAGTGAGGGTCATTGTAATTCTGCTTTTAACAGACACATATAAGCACAAAACAGCAGCTTTAACAAGCAATGTTTCCAAACATTACATCTCACTTTGCCATTTTAGATGACACAAAACAACAGAAATTTAGAAGCACAAATGTATTATAGAAAACCAAATTAAATGTACATATGCATTTAACAAATATTAATGGATGATGATGATGATAAAATATAGGAACTTATCTTCCACTTCATATAAAAATTTATTTTTTCCTTCAAGAGTCTATTTGATTATGAATTTTCTAGGAAGGCAGAAATCTCCCACTGAGAATTGTATTATTTTTCTAGAAATTTCATATTCACTTGTTTTCATGGAAATTTAATTTCAATTTTTCTAAGTCATGAGATTTTTAGATGATAATTATGTCCTCTCAATTTGTAAGGGCCTTACCAAAATCTCTTTACTTCTCCAGGCCTCAGATTCCTCATCTATAAAATGAGGGTTGAAACTAAATGTTCTCCAAAATAATTCCTAGTTCTGAATATGTCATTGCAGAGGAAACATATTCCAACCTGCTTGGTCCCTTTAGCTTCTTTTCCCCCACTCTCCAAAAACGTTCTGTTACTGATGAGCAAGTTTCAAGAATCATTTAAGCATACCTGATTCTAATCATATGAACAGTGATTAAATTAGGATTTGCACAATGTAAACCCTTCCATGAATACTGCAATATTCAAAAAGGTAGGAGATCACTACAGTAAACTAACCCTTTTGGTCCTAGAAGAAGACAGTATACTTAGTTTTTGTTAGTGAAGTGGACTGCACACTCTTCGCAGATGACCAAGGGGCAATGAAAAAGGCAGGCGTAAACAGGCTTCAGCACCTTGCCAAAGATGACTTACAAGCAGGAAATGGCACAAAACACGTCCTCAGGGACACAAATGCCTTAAGATGAAGGCAGGCCATTTATGTAACAAGAATGAGGGATGGCTAGCTCAAATGTTTGCATATTCTTTTTCTTCAACAGATCCTTGATATTTCTGGAGTGCTTATGTCCATCACTGATGAGGGATGCTACCCCTACTTCACAGCAAATAGTTGTTATAAGCTATGGCTGAAAATTTTATCACTTTGGGGTCAACTTGGTGATATTTTAGAAACTTAGCTAGGTTGGTCCTTAGACAAAAGACATATAGTCCATCACTAGGCTTATCCTCAGTCTTCTCACCTTGGTAGGATCTGCCTGGCCAAGCTGCTCATAGCCTAGAGTATAAGCATGTACTTCAAGAACCCAGAGTCATCTCCATGCCATGATGAGGGATGAAAAAAGGACTTTAGTAGAGTTACTGGTATCCACTGACTAACCAAGTAACCAGAGGAAGGCCTTTAACACACTGGATATACTCTCCATGTAGGATTTGTAGAAAGATAAGAATAAGGATTGCCCAGGATAGGACTAGATAGGCTCCAATCTGAGTGCCATACTAAATGGCCATAATGAGTAATAACAACAAAAAGTCCAATTCACTCAAGTACTCTGAAGTACAATTTATGAGACACAGATTCTTGGGGGGAAGGAGGTTAGACATGTTAATAGAACCTTATTTCTAGGTGGGCAACATATTTTAAAATGACAGTAATAATGATGATGGAATGTATGTAGCATAGCGCTTTCAAGGCGTGTGAAGCGCTTTCAATGCAGTCTCTCGCTTACTCCTCACAGTAACTCTCTTAGCTACTACAAGGCATTACTGACCTTTGCTCTGCAGACAAGGAAACTGAATCTCAAAGGCTAAGTGACTTGCCCATGGTCATGTAGCCAAAGCCAGTTTCAGATCCAGGATCTGAGGCTAGTTTTTCCTGTCCTTAAGACCGGCACTCTATGCCCTATGTCAAGTTAGATTCCTTTTGGACCAAAGAAAAAGAAAAGTCAGGCTGTGATAGGATTAATCTCAGGCTTTTTCTACCATACGGTCATTAGGGAAATATCCATGCTGGGCTTCCAGTATTGAATTCCATTTAGGATTCCTAGAAAATTGTGAACTACCACACAAACCTGGAAGTTTGCCACGACAGAAAGTCCTAAGCAACTAAGTAATCCAAGTGCAAGGCCAGCCTTGTTTAATTTGATGATCCGAGGCTCCTCGGGACTGAGAGCATGAACTTGCTTATAACGAACATATACGGTGGCAACACCTAGAAAGAAAATTCAGAAGTAATAAAGCTTTGAACGACAAAGGAAAAAAAATCACAAAGTTCATTACTCTCTGGCAACACAAATGGCCCTTCTGAAGATAATCTCTAAGAAGAGGAGACAAGAGTCAAAGCCTATTAGAGCTGGAAGGGGCCTTAGGATCCCTCTAGGCCAGCTGCCATCTTTTCTACAACACACTGACAACTCTGGCCACACCCATCTTGACCTCTTGGCAATCCATTACTTTTGAATTCCTTTCATCCATGTCCTATCACTGCTCACCAAACTCCAATCTGGATTACTCTTACCATCTACTTCTTCTGCACTTGCCTAAGTGATGCTGAACAAAGGTAGAGTAATCCACCACTGTGCCAACAGGGTCCACTATGAATTTATGTTACGTAATCTCAACTGGGACCTTCCTTAGGTCAAGGGAAGCCTTCCAGTCCTTCCTCACTGAGACGCTTCCCTCTGTTGTTCCATCCGCCATGCCATGCCACTACATGTGGTTCTAGCCTAGGGCTCTGTCCCAGGGCTGCCCTTTCTGTTCTCTCTATACACTCACTTGATGACTTCCATCACTCCCTTGCCTGTCTCTACTGCAAGTTTCCCATGTCTAAAAGCTTTCTCCCCACACCTTCACCTCTTCAAGGCCCAGCTTCTTTCAGGAACTAAATAACGCTTCAAAGGCCATCCCATCCAAGGTTACTTTGTGTCTGCTTTACATGGGTTTTGTATATGCTTACACAGGTGCGCATGCACGTAAGTATATACATACAGGTACATCTCTCTTCCTCTTTGAGGGCAGAAATTGTTTCATTGTTGAATCTGCATCCCCAGCACCTAGTTAAATACCTGATGAAGAGTAGGTGCTTAATGCTTGTTGACTGACTTGAAGACTTTCCTAACTTCCAAGATGGCCTGTAATACTTTGGGGTCAAGACAAAACAAATTAAACATGCTTTCCCCAGAATAATCATTCGAATATTTGCCCTCCCTCCACCTGCTACCCCTAAGTCTTCTTTTGGCTAAACATCCTCAGTTCCTTTAGACAGTCCTCAAATGGCCTGATCTCGAGGCCCCTCAACATTCTGGTTTCCTTCCTCTGGGTGTTCTCATCCCGAATTTTTCAAACTGTGGTACACAGAACTGAATACAACACAGCAGATGTGACATTAACAGGACATCATACTACAACTATATTATCACCTCTCCAATCTCGCTGGACATGATGCTTCTCTTAATGAAGCCCAAAATCACATGAGCTATTTTTTAGGAGAACATAAGCTCCTAAGATGATTCCCAGACATATATATACTGTCCTGGTCTCTTCTGTGCTGTGGTCACATGTTACCAAAACCCTTTTGGAAACCTTGAACGGTGTCTCTTCTCTAGGCATTGCGAATTCAACATGTGCAAAACAGAACTCCTAATGTTATCCCCCAAACAATCTTCTACTCCCCACCTTTCCATTACTGTTGAGAGCACCACCATCGTCCTGATCACCCGGGCTCACCACCTCAGCCTCATCCTTGGTCTTACTATTTCTCATTTCTACATTGACAACATGTCTTGGATAGGACCCCTTTCGTTCACTTAGACAGCCACAAAAGTCATCTGGGCCTTCCTTAACTCTCACCTGGACTACTGTAAGACCCTTCTTCATGATCCCTCTTCCCCAACTCTCTCACCTTCCAATCCATTCTCTACTCAGTGGCAAAGGTGACTTTTTTCTTTTTTTTGGAGAGGCACTTGGGGTGAAGTGACTTGCCAGAGTCACACAGCTAGTAACTGTGTGAGGCCAAATTTGAACTCAGGTCCTCCTGACTTTAGGGCTGGTGTTCTATCCACTGTGCCACCTAGCTGCTCCAAAGGTGACTTTTTTCTAAAGCATTGATTTAACCTCTAACCCACCTGATCTTCCCCTCTTCCCCTCAGCTCAATAAATTCCAGTGGCTTCTTATTAGCCCCAGGATCAAATATAAACTCCTGTTTGGATCAAAAAATCTTCATAACCTGACACCTTCCCACCTTTCCAGTCTACTTATACTTTACTCTCCTTCACACACGCTACATTCCAGCAACACTTGCTATTCCTCAAACATGATGCTCCATTTCATGTGCTTTGGCTGTCCCTCACACCTGCAATGCTCTCTCCTCACCTTTGCATCTTAGTGTCCCCGTAGCGCCAGCTGCTTAGTGCCTTCCACTCACAGATTCTCTTCTATCTGCTCTTTATGTATCTTGTACATGCCTAGTCATTTATGTTGCCCAGTCCATCTATGCTCCTTACAGGCAGGTACTGCTTTAGCATTGCTTCATATCCCTGTAATGTAGTGCAGTGCTTGACACACAGTAGGTAATTAATTATATTGAGCTAGCAGTTGTATCACAACATTGACTCCTTTTATTATGGACTGCTGCGTAGTCATGCCTCTTCTATTCTGTGCCAACAAAACTGCTATTTTTGAACCAAAGTGCTTACATTTGTTCCTATTAATTCATCTTACTGGATTCAGTTCTAATTTGTCAAGATCTTTTTGGCTCCTAATTGTCTCACCCAATTATCTATGCCTCCTAATTGTGAGTCCTCTAAATAACAGGTAAACAAGCCATCTATATTTTTATCTAAGTCACCTTTATTTAAATCACTAATAAATGTGTTTCTGAGCACAGGGCCAAGCACAGATTCCTCCCAACTGACAGAGTGTCAACATTTATCCAATTCTGAATCCACCGCAATAGATGATTGGCTAACCTATGTTTCTCCATTTTTTCCAATCAATCAACAGTATTTATTATGTGCTCACTCTATGATAGGCAGTCTGCTGGGTGCTGGGGCTTCAAGTGCAAAGAATGAAATAACTCCTACTCCCGAGGAACTTACTTTCTAATGAGGGAAACAACATTACATAGCATAAACAGGAAGTTAATGCAAATATTTGCAAAGTAGTTAAATACAAGATAGTGTGGGAGAGAGATCATTAGTAGTTGGGGGAAATGAGAAGAGGCTTTACGCAGAAGATGGTACTGAAGCTATACTTCAAAGGAAGACAGGAGAAGCATAGGCAAAGGTGCATTCAACACATGTGGGGTGGCTATGCACACTGATGGGAGATGGAGTACCATGTGTGAAGAGCAGTTCACACGGATCAGAGTGTGGGGCATGATATAATAATGTAATATAATGTAACAGCCAATGAGGCTTGCCATACAGGCTGCACACAGGCTTAGTAGGGCTTTAAAAGCTAAACTAAGGAATTTATATTTTATCCTAGAAGCAACAGGAAGCCACCAGAGTTGGTTAAGTAGGGGAACCACATGGTCAATCTGTGTTTGAGGAAAATTACTTTAAAGATTTCATACAGGGAGCGTAGTCAGGAGGCTGTGGCAAACATGGAGGAATGCTGCTGTCATCGCCATCCTCGTTCAGGCCCTCATCTCTTCTTGCCTGGCCCACTACAATAGCCTCCTACTTGGCTTCTTGGCCACCAGTCTTTCCCATCAGTGACAGTCCTACAGCACAGGTCTGACCAGGTCATTCCTCTGCTCAAGAAATTTCAGTGATTCCCTGCTGCCTCAAAGACCAACACAAATTATTCTGTTTGGCCTTTAAAAGTCTTTCACAATCTGGCTCTAAGCTATCTTTTCAGAAGGACATATTATTACTACTAACATACTCTATAGTCTAGCCAAACAGGACTGCTCATTCCTGGTGCCTTCGTCCAGGTTGCCTCCCCCTTGCCTGGAAGGCCCCCTTCCTCCACCCTGGGTAATCGCTAGTTTCCTTTAAATGCTAAAATAGTTTATTTTTTATCCTGGAGTTCATAGGTAGCCACTGGAGCTCCAAAATAAAGGGGATCACATGGTCCAACTTACATGTGAGAAAGATGACCCTGGCAGCTAAGCAGAGGATGGACTGGAGTCGGGGAGAGACCTGAAGCAAAGGGACCAGTTAGAAGTCTATTGCAATAGTTCAGGGGAGAGGTGAAGACGGCCGAAAGTGATGACTGTGTAAGCAGAGAAAAGGGACACATTCAACAAATGTTGTGGAGCTACAAACAAGATTTGGTAACAGACTAGATATATGTATTCCACACATATGTGGAATGAGTGAGGAATCAAAGGTGACTCTTAAGTTGCATTTCTGGGTGACTGGAGAATGGCAGTAACCTTGACAGTAATAAGAACTTGAGAAAAAATGGTTTTTGGTGGAAAATAATGAGTTACGTTTCAACACATAGAATCTGAGTGCCTAGAGAACAGCCATAAGGCAATTGGTGATGTGGGACTGTGCTCAGAAAGAGACTAGGGATAGATACAGATATCTGGGGATCATCTTGTAGAGCTGATAACTGATAACCCATGGGAGCTAATAAGATCACCAAGCAAGACAGCAGGAGAAGAACTGAGAAGACCACCAAGTGAGAGCCTGGGAGGATGCCAACAGGGAGCACGACATGGATAAAGAATCAGCACATGGGGACTGAGCAGTGGATGGACAGACAGAAGGTGGGTTAGCACAGAGACTTAGGCCTCAGTGAAGGGAGAGTATCCAGAAGGAGAAGGTCATCCAAAGTATCAAATGCTACAGAGAGGTGAAGGAAGATCAGGATTGAGAAAATGCCACTATATTGGGCAATAAAGAGATCATCAGTAACTCTGGAGAGGGTGCTTTCAACTGAACAGGAGTCAGAAGCTAGGCGGCAGGTTTTGAAGGGGGAGAAAGGAAGAAGTGGAGGCACCTAATGTACAAAAGGCTTTCTCCACGAGTTTAGCCACAAAGAAGGAAGGAGACAGGATGGAGTTAGAAAGGATGGGGGGGTCAACTAAGAGTTTTGGAGAGAGGCAGGGAGGTGTTTGTTTGTCCTTCATTCTAGAAGAGGACCATGAATCACAGAGGTGATGCCAGGACTGCAAATGAACCGGATCTGAGTGAGGCAGGGCTGTGCAAAGTCATCAGCCTCACTTTCTCCTCTGGAGGCAGTGGCCAGATACAGATCAGGATGATTGGAGATGGCCCCAGGCAGTGAGGAGAGTGCTAGTAGGTAGGGAGACAGTGAAGATAGCTGAATGGAGAATAGAGATTATGGGGTGCGGCAATCTGTTGAAGTCAGGAGAGGAATAGGATCAAAATTTCAGGTTGAAAGATTGGCTTCTGCAAAGAGAAGAGCTACCTCTTCAACACCCTGAAGGAGGAGGCTGTGGAGAAAGATATCTGAGTGACAGGAGTTAAGTAAGAAAGGGGAAGGAGTCTCAGTGAATGGCTTCACTATTTTCTGGTGAAGTATGAGATGAAGTATGAGACTGAAAAGAGATGAGATGGTATGGAATAGCCACCCTCGAAATAGATGAGTAGGACAGCAAATTGACTGGGAAGAAATAGAACCTCTGTCTTATCACAGTGAGAGCTCAGTGGAGATTACATCATCTAAATTTGTAGTCGACCCAGTCAGTGCAATTTCATAATTTTCTGTTCCGGAGCGCATGAACAGGAATGAAGGAGGTGGATGGTGGGAAGAACATTTGGTTTTGGTAAAGCATGATCAGTGATAAGTCAAGGAGGAGATTCAAAAAGGAAGAATAGTGTAAAGATGAGTTGGTTCACCAAGAAACGAGTTAGGGAAGAGAGAATATAGCCAATGCAGGGGTGATGGCCTGGGACAGAACTGAAGCATGAAGGCAATGGAGATAGTGAGGAGGAAATACATGATGGACTAGCAAGGAAGCAGACTGGTAAGATAAAAACACTAGCGTAATGGGTATAATACCAACTTCAAAAACCTGTTTCACAGAGATAAACGCAATTTTTTGTTGTTCAGTCATTTCAGTTGTGTCCGACTTTTTGTGTTCCCATCTGGGGTTTTCTTGGCAAAGACACTGGAGTGGTTTGCCATTTCCTTCTCCAGCTTATTTTACAGATGAGAAACTGAGGCAAACATGGTTAAGTGACTTGCCCAGGGTCACACAGCTAGTAAGCATCTTGAGGCCAGATTTGAATTCAGGAAGTCTTCCTGACTCCAGGCCAGGTGCTCCATCCACTGTACCACCTAGCTGCCCCAACTGTTGTATCTTTAAAAGGTACAAGAATCTGGGAGTAACAGTTTGTCGTTTTATGAGGAATCTATAAGAATTGGGAGTTAGACTACTATTTAAATTAAGCTTAACCCTATATCGTTTAAAAAAAAAAGGAAAGAGAATTTGGTTGGTACCCTGAGAAAACTGAATGTTGAGACTTTTCCAGAAATGAGGATGAATCAGTGGTCGTCAGTGGTCATAATGATAGTTAAAAAGTGACTTTGGCAGTGATCACATTCATAACTGATACATTGTAAATAACTATGTAAGGCCTTGTTCTTTTGTTTGTTACACTGTTACAAGGAATACAGCCAGTAACCTCAATGTTTATTGACATCTAAGACATCAGGTGGGTTAATATATATATACACACATTTTCACGGGTGTAAATATATATATATATATATGTGTACGTACACACACACACACACACACACACATCAATACAGACAGACAGAGATGGGGTAGGAGGTAGGCACAAACACTTACAGGAGGTTTCTCCAATTTGTGATTGACCCTAAATTATTTACATGGGCACAACTGGTTTTCCCCTCCATCCTGATCCGCTACAGCTAGAGCATATCCCATTATATTACTATTGGGTGGGACTGGTGGGTTTTAATTTCTCTTTCTCACTGGTTGTCCTTGATTGGTGGGGTGAGACAGGGAGAAATATCAAGGCCAGTACTGAGTATGTAAGATTAGTACTCAGCTGAAATGCTTCTGGTTGACATATTTTTCCTTGAATCTAGGAGGGCTGAACAGGAGGAAAAAATCTGCTTCACTACTATATATGAGGCTGTTATTCTGGAACCCTGGGAACCACATCTACTACTGAGCCAAGCCCTAGCAATACAGCTACTATAACATTTTGTAAATGCAGATGAAAAAAAAAATCAACATATATTTATTTACAAAAACTTCAATAATTCAATTGAAAAATAATCTGGATAAAACTCGAGGTAATTTTTCACCCACTATAACAAGCACGTGTCTGGTGACAGACAATCTAAATGTCTGCAGGCCAAAGCCTAGACCAGTTAAGTTGGGAGAACTTTTGAAGATGCTTTAGAAAGCTGCTGAGGAGGCTCAGATATATGGGTTGATGTGGTAGTTGATGAAATCACGTTTTCTTGAAGTTGTGAAAGATGAGCAACATTTTAAAAGATAAAGAATAGGTTCAGCTGCTACTATTTTTAATAGGTAACTACTTAATCTAGAAGATGGTAAGGCCATTGATAGTACTTACACAAGACTGCAGCGATATTTAACATTACCCCAAACAAGCATTTTTCTGGAGCCACTGTTCCAGTGTCACTGAAAGAAAAACATCAGTATGTGGATACTTGCACCAAAAATACTGCCCATTATTTACAGTGAGGAAGAGAAGTACGTCAGAACCTTCTACTCTCTCTAGAAATCTATTTTGGCCTAATTTTTCTCATGGCTTTCTTTAAAGAGAATATAATAGTATGACTGGTTTCATTTTCCTTTTACTTTAATCATGTGACTCCACTTATGAACATTTGTTATTCAAATGCCAGAAGGGAAACTTCCTTCATGGAGAGGAGAGGAATTATTAATATTATTATCATCGATAATAATATTATCATCATTATTATTATCATCACCATCATCTCCAGCTTACAAAGTACACTTAATTCAGCATCTATTAAGCACCTACTGTGGAAAGCAGAGGTGTCAAACATACAGCCCAGGCCTGGGAATTATATTAATATAATTGGGAACTATTTAACAAAATAAATAAAAATATAATACAACATAGGTAATGTTAATGTGTGGTTTTCTCTAAGTCAATATGCAGCAGTTGATAGAGTTCTAGGTCTTCAATAAGGAAGACCCCAGTTCATATCTAGCCTCAGGCACTAACTACCTTTATCACCCTAGACAAGTAACTTAATCTCTGTTGCAAATACAACTTCTGTAAAATGGGGATAACAGCAGCGACCACTCACGGTGGTTGTGAGGATCAAATGAGACAATTATTGTAAAGGACTCAGAGCACAGTCCCTGGCACATCACAAGTGCTCTATAAATGTTGGCTAGTATTATTAATATTCATGATTATCCTCACTTATGATTTAGTGGTCCCAGTCTAAGGTTGAGTTTGACAGCACTGGTATGTGCTTAATCCATACACACACAAACAATGAAAAAGTATTCTTTCCAGTAAGTAAAGATTACAGTATTATTTTTCTAGCTAGGCAATGGGGTTAAGTGACTTGTCCAGGGCTACACAAATAGTAAATGTCTGAGGCAGGATTTGAACTCAGGTCCTCCTGACTCCAGGGCCAGAGCTCTATCTGTGCCACCTAGCTGTCCCTAAAGGTTACGTTATTAACCCATCATCATTGCTGGGGCACAGACCCCAATAATGTTGACATGTTATACTAAGTCACCGTGCCCCCACATCAGCTAGTATGAATTTGTAAACTGACTACCCAGGATTAGAAGAGATTTTTACATCAGAAAATAGAGCTTTACTCTAAAAGATATCTAGTTGAAAGACTAAATTAAAAAACAGCCTCATTCAACACTAAATTCTACCCAGAGGTCTTTCCCTCTGACCACTGACACTCAATTAATATATACCATCATTCACTAGATCTCCACAACTTTCTGCCTTTTAAGGAAAAAAAATTCCACTTAAATTTCCAATTTTTTTTCAGGTTCAGTCACTGTGATAAACCTTATGTTTTATCATCCTAAGTAAGGCATGCAGCTGGGTAGTAGTGCGAGCTTATAATCCCTTCTACTGGGGAAGGCTGAAGCTGGTGGATTGCATGAGTTTCGGAGTTCTGAAGCTGCAGTAGGGCTAAAACTGATCAGGTGTCTACACTATGTCTAGTATAAATACGGTGAGCCCCTGGGAGTAGAAAGTCACTAGATTGCCTAAGGAGGGTCAAACCAGCCTAAGTCAGAAAAACTGATGGATGAAGCTTCCATGTCAATCAGTATTGGGACAGGGCTTGTGAGTGGCTGCTCTACTTTCCAGCCTGAGTGAAACAGAAACATCCCATCTCCAGAGAAAAAAAATTGCCTAAAATGACTGAACTTCACAAGGACAAGTTCAGAGTACTCTAATTAAGGCAGCCAAGATGCATGCAAGAAGCTAGCCAACATAATGGGAACCACTAAACATTTCCATAAAGATATCTCGGTAATGACCTGCAACAAGAAACTAACAAAAGTGCGGTGAACAAGTGATGTAGGTCTTTACAACCAAAAGTATTCATTCCACAAATACTTGATAAACACCTAAGTCGGGCAAGTTACAACAAGGTCTTTGGAGGCAAGGACAATTTCATTGTTACATCTGTATTCCCAGTGACTAGCAGGGTCTGGCAAAGTAGGTGTTTAATAATAAATGTTTGATGACTGAAATAGCCAAAATGTAAACCTTGGTCCTCAAAGAACGGAGGAATGAAAAGTACACAGATAACAGTGATATAAGGGACAATTAAGTAAGTCACAAAAGAGATGTTTCGGCATAACAATGTGAGCAATTTGAGAGGAAAAGATCACTTTCACTTGGGCGGAGGGGTCCTTCAAGGAAATTTTTATGCAGGAAGCATCATCTGAATCGGACACTGAAGAAAGGAGGATTTTGACAGATGAAGATAAGCATGCAAGTAAAAGCACAAGTGTGAGGTGAGGGCAAGAAGATGGAAAAGACCAAGAGCTATCCAGTTTGGATTTAATGTGGACTCTATGAAGAAGAACTGTATGAGGCAAAGCTTTTTTTTTTTTTTAAGGCAAATGGGGTTAAGTGCCTTGCCCAGGGTCACACAGTTAGTAAGTGTCAAGTGTCTGGTCTGACACCGGATTTGAACTCAGATCCTCCTGACTTCAGGGCTGGTGCTCTATCCACTGTGCCACCCAGCTGCCCCTTGTATGAGGCAAAGCTTGAGAGCCAAGTTGGAATCAGATTGTGGAAAACCTCAAATACCAAAGTCTGGAGCTTATACTTTATTCAATGGGAAATAAGGTGTCCATGGAGATTTCTGAGTAGAAGAGCAAAATGACCATAGTGATATTAGGAAGAGTTGGGAAGCAATGTGGAGAACAGAAACTGGACGCGGGAAAATGGTCAAGAAGGCTATTGCAGGGGCAGCAAGGTGGCGCAGTGGATAGAGCACCAGCCCTGGAGTCAGGAAGACTTGAGTTCAAATCCAGGCCCAGACATATAACACTCACTAACTGTGTGACTCTGGGCAAGTCACTTAACCCCAACTGCCTCACAAAATAATTTAAAAAAAAAAAAAAGGAGAAGCCTATTGCAATAGTGTGAGAAGAGATGAGGCTTTGAACTAGGGTGGTGGCAGTGGGGCTGCAGAGAAGGGCCAACACATGAGAGATACTGTTAAAAGAGAAATCATTAGATTTGGCAGGATGGGGAAGAAATGAAAATAACTGCAAAATTAAAGCCTTAGTGAATGGGGAGATCATGGCGCTTTTAACAAAAATAAAGAAATTGGGGGAGGGGCAGGGTTAGGCAGGGAAGATGAAGAGGTCAGTTTTAGAAATGCTGAGTCTGAAGTATCAGCAAGCAATTCGGAGGAAGTATGTATCAGCAGTTAAAAAATATGGAACCAGAACTAAAGACGTTATGGCACATGAGATACGGATTTAGAAAGCATCTGTGTAAAGGTCATTTTTGAAGTCAGGGAAGTAGATACAATCACTTAAGGGAGGCTGCAGATAGAGGAGGACTATCCCCAGAACTTTAGGGAGCACTTCCATTTAAGGGCTGGGAGGAACACCAGGAAGCATCAGAAGAAGCTGGAGGTGGGGAGGGCATCAGGGGAGAGGTGACGCCAGAGGGGGTCGAGAGACATAAAATGACATTAGTAATAAGGCGGTCATTAGGGGCCCTGGAGGCGAGAGACAGTCAAAGAAGCTGGCCCGAAGGTCTGAGGGGTTAGCGGGCAGTGAAGAAGAGGAGGAGGGAAGGAGTCCTGACTGAGAATCTGGCAGCTACGAGAAACAGAAAAACACAATAAGCTTGGAAGGTGGTCAGGGTAAAAGGGAGGATTTTATTCAGGACAGGGGAAATGGGAACGAGTTTGCAGACTGACATGAGAGACCCAGCAGAGGGAAAGAATGATGATGGATGGAGAGGAGGGTGTATAGAGCTCATCTTCCTGGGACACTGATCCCTCTCATGCTTCATCTCAGCCTTCTTCCTGCCATGCTAAACCTTCCTCTGAAAAGGACTTTCAGAGATCATGCCTTAGAAGAGCTAGACCACTGGGCATCCATACCTCAACTCTCGACCACTGTGTCTAGCCAATCCCAGAGCCCCAACAATGGTCCTGTGTGGGTGCCTTTGTTTGCTGCTTCCCCCTCTAACTCTGGGAACAGTAATCAAAGCAACACTGCCATGGACTCTGGAAAGGGCCTGTCAACCGACAGCTCACTGGGCCCACTAGAATTTCTCAGTGAGCAGCAGGGAGTTCCTCTGATCCTCTTTCATTTGAGGATGGCACCCAGAGACTTCTCATCATTTCTCACGTGGCTACTCTCCAGAAATTCATCAGTCTGCAGGATGAAATTAACTCAGATACTCGCACATCCTCAGATCATTTCCCGCCCTGGCTGCATGACCTCATCATGGCGGAGGTGAGTAACCTCCATCTCCTCGCCTACTCTTCAGCTTTGTATGTGCTGTCTCCCCCACAGACTGGGAGCTTTTTGACGGAAGGGATATCTTGTGCCTTTCTTTGTATCACCAACACTTAACGCAGTGCCTGGCACATAGCAGGTACTTAATAAATGTTTATTAACAGTGACAGGACCAAATATCTTTCCCCAGCCACCATTCCCATGCACAACGGATTGAGGAAGATCAATCCTCACACTGGAGTGAAGAAGATCTGAATTCAAATTCAAACTCAGACACTGTGTGACCCTGGGCAAGTCAATGAATTTCTATCTGCCTCAGTTTCTTTATCTGCAAAATAAAGAAAATAATAGTACTGCTTCTAGGGTTGCTGTGAGTATAAAATGAGACTTTTGTAAAGTACTTTGCAAACTCTAAATCACTGTATAAATGGTTACTATTATATAAATGATATGTAAACCATCTTGCACAGTAGTGTCTCCCCATTAGAATCTAAGATCCTTGAGGGGTAAGGACTATCTCTTTTGTATCTGAATCCCCAATGCATACACGCTTCATAAATGCTTTTTTTCTCATTCCTTCATCTTAGAAGAATAGAGGAAAGGATGGCCTGCAATGAGAATAAAGGAGCAGAATACAGGAGGTGAGGAAATTCATCAAGGATAGACTCAAT